TAATACAAGAAATGAACAATTATAAAGCACTACAAATGGCTCAATGCAACTCACTCCCATGAGAGAGAGTTGTGAGAGACTAGCAGTCCTTCAAGTCTAGTCTGCTGCAGTGCGGCAATGGGCCCATTCCCATGGAATCCACTGGTCGTGTCATGTTCATCATCCTGACGCTGCTGGCATGATAGAACGATGGAATAGGCTCTTAAAGACACAATTACTGCGTCAGCTACCGTATATACCCGTGTATAAGCTGAGTTTTTCAGCACAAAAAAAGTGCTGAAAAACGGGTTCGGCTTATACACCGGTCAGTGGTACCTGACAGACCCAGCTGCTCACCGTTGCGCCTTATTGCCGCCTCACAGACCCAGCTACTTACCGTTTTGCTGCCTCACCGCCTCGCTGACCCAGCCACATGCCGCCTGGCTGCCTCGCAGACCCAGCCGCTTCCAGTAGTATCTCGCCTCCCCTATGCAAGTGGTGGGCGTGGCAGCACGCAGAAGAGGCTTTCGGTTGGCTGCATCCTCATCCTCCTGTGGTTACTGCCTGCAAGTTCGAGATGCATGGGAAGACATTCCAGAAGATATGGTGCGGCATGCCTTCCAGAAATGTAGTATTAGTAATGTTATGGATTTCAGTGAAGACTGCGCTTTGTGTGAAAGTGACAGCAGTGATATATTAAATTATCAGCAATTTGGTTTTATCTCTCTAGAGAACCCTGTCTAACACAGTTACATTTGAGACATAACCAAATCCTCTCAGAACTGGATTTCTTGGTTTGAAGGATTAGGGCCATATTATGACTCATCTCAGTTATTTGGCATAGTAAAGGTTTGGGTAGTAGTGTACACAAACTAACTAAGATGTCTTTATCTACCTCGAGTGCAGAAGGACTAGATCTTGCCTGATTAGCGCTACCAACCGTTTTACTAAGGGACACAAAAGATAAATCCCAGTACAAGGTAGAACAGAACCTCAAATTATTTTTTAAATGAAGAAAGAAGAAATAAAGTATTATGCTCTTGTGAACATTTATATGAGACCAAATAATAATTGCTTTGAAACAAAGATGAAAATGTAAGGGGGGGTTGGGCACAGAAACTAGATAAAGGGAAATGGAAAAAGCAGAACTCAATGAGAATGAATGATCATGCATCACGAACAGTGTAATCAGTGTTAGCATGTAAAAATGGATGAATGGGAATTTAAATTGCTGGGTAAGTCTTCACAAGAAAAAAACATTTTAATGCACCAGACATAGTAATGGATGGAAACAATAAAAAATAAACCATAAACTTTCATTTTTATAAATGCTCATTGAAATGAAAAGGATAAAATCTTGCATAAGTAGCTTCCCTTAATTTGGGGTTCACACTTAATCCTAGCCCCAATCTAAGACATTAAGCAAATTATGACATGGCCCTGCCGGATGCTCACCTTCATGAAGATATCACTGAAGATCAGGCTGATACAGCAAAGTGTGATGAAGAAGCCAAGTGATGCCTGGCTTTCAGAAAAAATTATGTCTGAGGTCTTAAAGGCTTGCCTTCAGACAAATACCCGTCTAAGTGAGGCATCAGTCAAGTCCTCATGGAAGCAGCATGTCAGCCTGTGTGATTCTAAGGATTGTAAATATTAAAATCCAGGTCTGAAGAAGGGAATGATACCAGCTTAAATTGTGAACCCTTTGTTTGCAGAATGCTATGAATGACAATGGGAGCTCAAAAAATCCACTGTGGGGTCTCCACACGGAAGGGATTCACCTCTGGTGAATCTCCTGTGAACATAGTTTTAAGGATGTGTATAGCCTTGCTATCCCACAGCATTATAAAGTCTATTATGGCAGACGTAGTTAGATTAAAATGTAGTGACTTATCATTTAATCTGCCTTTGACCCATTTTAAAGTTGTTTCAGTTTTACTTTTTTTCATATTTTCTTTAGTCATTGTTGGTTTGTTTGTTTGCTTCTTATTTGTGTTTTGTATGATTTTCTGTATATGAAAGCTAGATTAATTCTATAAAGACAAGTCACTATTGACAATTGCCTAGGGGTATGATATGGGAATGTGGAGCTAAGAACAATGAGTAAGAGAAAACTTCTCAAATTGATTGTGGTGATGATTGCACAAATCTTCTTACTAGTTTGTACAATTAGATTGTATGATATGTAAAATATATTGCCAATAAAACTGTTTTAAAAAAACCTTTCCCTTATCTTATCAAAGATCTAATTTTTACACGTTTTTAGTATTTGTTCATAGTCCAGTTTTTTCCTTAAGGAATTGAATGTTGTCAACAGTATCTGTAAGCTGTATAAATATGTAAAAAAAAATTTTTAACTTAGTTGAAATATAGCATGCATTGGTCTTTCTTAAAGGGTTTTGTGACAACTTATATTAGAATCACCTGAAGTTTGTAACATTTGGTTTTGATAAAGGTTCCTGAAATTGTTCAGATTGTCATTTAAGTTAAGAACTTAGAGTTGGAATGGATCCATAGAAATATTACTATTCACATTTTTGCTAGAAAACTAAACAATCTGATCATCATTATTTCAGTGACTATGAGCATAAACCACAGATTTGTTTTCTTCCCTTTAGACATTGCAGTTGAAAGAAGAAGAAAATAAGCGATTAAATCAAAGACTTGTAAGTTTTGGGTTTTTCTTTTTTCTTTTTTTTTTTTTT